CCTGTGTGAAGTGTTACAACCAGTGTCTGGCACATGGTGAGGCTTCAGCTGTTGCTGTGTTTCTATTGTAGTCTTTCCCAGCAGCATGGCCACTCCTGTTTGGCTCTGCTTCTTCTTGGATAGCAGCTTTGACTTCCCTGTAAGAGTTTACTGTTGTCTGTGTTGTGGCTCAACTGCAGCCATATAAAATATAGAGGAAGAGAACAAAGCTTGGTCATACAAGAGAGCAGATGTGAAGATGTCTGCTATCACAGGTGGAATGAAGCCTGAGTCTCCCTCTTTATGTACATTAGTGCTAACAGATTAGTAAGTATTTATATATCCTGTAGTTAGCAATTTCCAGTACCAATATGGACTTATGTTGAGGATGACGGGTTTGTTTCAATTTATGATAAAGAGGGAAAACCAACTCAGTCAAGGTCACATGTGAGTCATGCACTGTAGATGACAGTGATTTCCTAAAGTAAGCTTCTGAACTTTACATTTTTGGCAAGACACCCTCTTTTACAGCATGGCGCAGTAAACTGTTCCAGAGTGGCAGCAGACATCTGCTGGCCCTCATCTGCTCTAATCATTTATCTACCAGATTGGAGACTGTCTCTCTGTTCTCCAGTCACCCTGTGTGCTTCTGGACCTTCACAGATTTTTTTCCCACCACCCCCTGAGTGATGCTCTTATTTCTTCCTCTCCAAAGTGCAGAGCTTCAAGCAGTGTGCTTATATCTTTCTTTGATGGTGGTGGTTATGTGTCTGATGCAATATGTATCTGTAGTCAATAGCAAGATGATCAAGGTTTGGAAAAAGCAAGTTTGGACAACTCGTGTTTATGTGACTATGAATGAAAACCAGTTTGTGGTGGGCAGAATCCTTGCGATCATGCGGATAAACTGATTTTACTTTCCTCAGCTCTCTGGATTTAGCTTAAGGGAGTTCATATAAGTACTGGCCACATGGCAGAAATCAAGGCCCAGGCAAAACATACTTCCTCTCACCAAACCAATCTGGCTATCCCTGTTGCCGAAGGCACAGACTGCTGGCTACAGAGGCTAGTACCATATTTCCAGTCAACATCATTACTGGAGAGACTCCGCCACCGCTTATGAACAGCAATTACCATAGATTGCTGCCATCCTGGGCAGTGCCATTATTTTCCTCCTTCCAATGGATACCTGCACTTGTATGGCATATTCTTTATGCAATATCTCTACCAGCACCTCTCCCACTGTCCCGTGATGACCTGGGTCTCTACCATGATCAGCACTGTTTTCTGCAGAGGTGCCCATCAGACAGGAGCGAATCATGGATAAGGTCGACAGCAGCATGGAAACTGAAAACCCATCTTTCCCTCAATGCAAAGACATAAAGCACGTGGGGAGTGAGACAGACAGGGACAGTGACACAGAGTAAGACAAACAGAGACAGAGAGGCTCAGGTGAAATCTGTAATTGTGTTAGGTGACAATGAGAGCTGAACCCTTGAAGAATACAATACAAAGAAACAACACTCAATGAAAATGTAAACACTTAAGAAGGGCGTAATAGAACTAAGGAGAAAACAATAAATAAGGGAATCTGTGGTTCAGAAATGATCATTGAGAGCAAGAAAATTGTCCTTTATTGTCTTTATTTATTTGTTTTGGGGTTATAATTTACTTACAATATTTCTCCCTTTCATTTCCTCCCTCCCCCCCATATAACTCTCCCTGCTCTTTCAAATTCATGGTGTCTTCTTTTCTTTTTAAGCGAATTGTTATTGCATGGACATATGTATTTATATTCCTAAACATAAACTACTCAGCTCCTAAATACTATCTGTATGTATGTTTTCAGGGCTGAGCATTTGCCACAGGACCCCATTTTTTTTTTTTTTTTGTGCTCTTCTCTGAGGAAGGTCACCTCTCCTGCTTCACTCTTTATCCAGTAACTATAGTGTCTATCTTTTTTTTTTTTTTTGATATTTGGGACAGAACCCAGGACAAACAGACAACATTTTCTACCAATTTAATGTATTGTAATCTAATTTTATGACAGGATTTCACTCAGTTGTCCAGGTTGCTCTTGAACTCTTGATCCTCATCTCTTAGCCTTTTCTGCTGCTCGTGCTATAGGTGTCTGCCATGGCCAGCACAAAAAGAAGCTAAAATTGAATAGTATCATAGGCAAAAATGTAAATAAAATGAAGAATATCCAAATAGTAAAAACAAGAGTAAAAATCACGTTTAAGTATCAGATATCAGGAAATTGCCACATATTTTAAAAGGTAAACGGTGGGTCTGTCATTGTCACCAATGATTCCAGACTCCCCCAGTACCTGTGTTTCCAAAAGTCTTAATCCAAGATTCCCTAAATCTTTTGAGACTAGAGCTCCCTAAGTATGCCTCCTGATTAGGACATCAGGATGTGCGGGTGCAGGTCCTGAGAGAGATGTGCCTTGAACTGTGCTGCTGCCCATCAGTGGGTACCCCACAGGGGCTGTCAGTGTCTGTCAAGTGGACAGAGTCTTCAAGGTCTGGGCATCCACCTCAGGTGCATTTGACAAGCACTGCTGGAAAGTGTACCTGTGAATCTCTCCATAGAAGTGCAGAGAGGCAGGAGGACAGGACTGTGGGGGTTATTCTTGGTTGTCAACTTGACTACATCTGGAATTAACTAAAATAAAAAAATGGAGGGCACACCAGTTAAGGCTTTGTTGAAGTAGGAAGATCCATTCGAATCTAGATCTTTGAGCTGGGAAAGCAGGTCTTTAATCTGTATCTTGGGCTGGGAAAACCCACCTGTAATCAGGGCTGCACTTTCTGCTGGAAGCTTCTATGAGGACATGGAAGAAGGAAGTTTTTACTCTTTGCCTACTTGCCCTCACTTTGCTAACAAATCCAATCCTTTGATGACATCAGTAATTCTTTGGGATTCCAGCATCTACTGAAGACCAGCTGATACATCTAGCATTGTGGACTGAGCAACTACTGTATTCTTAGACTTTTGGTTCCTAGGCAGCCATTGTTGGACTAGCTGGACTGCATCCTATAAGTTATTACAATAAATGCCCCCTCTTTCTCTTCATACATGTATATGTTCTCTCTCTCTCTCTCTCTCTCTCTCTCTCTCTCTCTC